GCCTGCTGCTGTCCCTGCTGTGTGGGCGGTGGCTGGGGGCCGCCAGGACCTGGGGTCTGTCCGTAGTAAGCGGCCTGCTGTCTGTAATATTCTGCCCAGGCGGCACTGTAGTCTGGCTGGGAGCCTGGTGGAGCTCCTGGACCCCCTCCAGTGGCCACTTGCGCCTGCTTCTTGTAGTACTCCTCCCAGGCCTTCGTGTAGTCCTGCTGCGGGGGTGCTCCGGGCTGTTGGGGCTGCTGGCCTGTGGGGGCAATGAGACAGGTCAGAATCCACTACCCTGGCAGAGCTGGAGCCCCCCGCCGCCCTGCAGACTCACCGATCTTTTTGTAATACTCTTCCCAGGCCTTAGTGTACTCCGACTGGCCGGTGGGTGGGGGCTGAGGGGGCTCACCCTGAGCGGGTGGGGCCGCGGGGACCGGCGCAGGGCCAGGGACGGGGCCCGGGGGCTGCTGGTAGTAGTGTGAGTAGTAGGCGGCCCACGCGGCGTTGGGGTCCGCGGCCGCTGCAGCTGCTTTGCCTGCAGAAGGAAGGGATACGCCAGGTTAGACTCGGGCACAGAGCAGGGCCCACCCTCCCCAGGTGGCCCATCACTTACTTGGGTCATGAGGAGCAGGCGGTTGCCACTGGGGGTAGGTATTGCCCCAGCCCTGGGGTGGGTACTGGTGAGGAGGGGGGCCCCCGGCACTGCAGGAGAGAAGGGATGTGTGAGCAGCAGTGCCGGGGGGCCGAAGCCCACCCACCTGGGGCATGCGTTTTTAAGTGGGGAGGGGCCAGAGACCCAGACCACCAGGCTCAACAAGACACCAGAGAAAGGCCTAGATGCGAAGCAACATGAAGGACGTGTAGTGTCAGCTCAAGCACACAAAACAAGCCCTCAAAGTTCTACGTACACGGAGGGATGCTGAAAGGAGCGTGTGCTTTACCAGTCGACAGGAGAGAGCCTGCTAACACTGTCCACAAAAACAGACTGGACGAGGCCCCTCACCTGCACCTCTACAGAGGTGGCACTTCCTGCCAGCTCAGTGACCCCCCAACCCTAAAGCCCAAGAGGCAGAGAGGGATACTCACTGCGGGGGAGCCCCGGGTGGCCCCTGGTTGAAGGGTCCAGGGTTGAAGGGCCCCATTGGGCCAGCAGGGCCTGGGCCCCCTGGGCCTGGTCCAACTGGGCAGAGGGGACCCTGGAGGGAAGGAGAGTGGCCAAGGTGAGTGGGCTGGGATCCGGGCTGTGAGCCCAAGCCCCCAGAGCCCTCCCCAGCCCACCTCGATCTTTTCCTCGATAAGCTGCTTGGCATGGTCGATCTGCTGGGGCGAACCCCGGATGATAAACAACTTGAAGTTGGGGTCCCCGTTGGGTGGCAGCTGCCGGGAGATCTCCACGAAGGCTCCCGTCTGCTGGTTTATGGCTTTCACGTTCTCGCCACCTGGGTAGAAACGCAGGTGAAGGTGGCCTGCAGTGGTGGCCCAGGGGAGAGGGGGCAAGGGACAGGGCACAGGGGGCCACGCTCACCTCGGCCGATGACCAGACCACACTTGTGAGTGGGGATGGAGAAGGTCATCTCCCCGCCAGGGGGGCCCCAGTTGCCTTGGCCTCTTCCTCGGCCCCGGCCCCCCGGGGGCATGCCTGGACCCCCCGGAGGACCTGGGGGACCACTCTGCAAAACAAGGGGAAGATGAAGAGGATGAACCCTGGAAGCCACTCTGGCCACAGCACTGCCCTGGAGGCCCTGCCATCATCCCCGTCAGCACCCAGGACCACCTACTCTGAGGCTCTGGAGGAGGTCGTTGATGATCCGGGCCGCGTGCTCACACCTGTCTGGGGGCCCCATTATATGAGCAATCTTCTCGGGCCCTGTCCCATCGTCTGCAGCCAGCACCGAGAGAGCAGAGACAAGTTTAAAAGAGCCCACCCCCAGAGCCCTGCAACACTGCCTCTCTAGGGTAGACACCAAGCTGGCGTGAGATCTCAGACATGTATCGCTGCTCCCAGCTTCCACCCATTCAGGAATTGACGGGGAGGCGGCCCACATTCCCAGAGAAGGAAACCCACGGCCAAGCCAGGGGGTGGCTCAGGCTTCTTCCAGCACCCGGCACCCCCAGCACCGAGAGATTTTACAGAATAAACCTGAAAACTAGAGAAGCCCTTCTCCCCATGGCAGGCTGCTCAGAGACTGGCTGAGGGCTGGCAAGAGCCCAGAGCTGAGGTAGAGTGGCCTGACCCAGCCTCTGGGGTGCCTGGACTGTCTTGTCAGGATGGGCTCCAACGTGGGAGAGGAAGAGAAGACATGATAGGGACATCCCCCCAGACTTGGAAAGCCCATGTCACCCTCTCGTGGCCATCCCAGAAGAAAGGGACTGGGCATGTTCTGACAGCTGGACTAGGAGCAGCGAGGCACTCGAAGGAGACCACCTGACTGACCACGGTGCCCAGCTTCCTCAGAGCCTGCCTCCCCAAGGGGGCTGCTGGCTAGGGGAAGGGCGGGCCAAGCCCTGACCTTGCTTGAACTGTATCCGCACACCAGCGTCATTCTGGATCTTCTTGATCATCTCTCCGCTCCGGCCAATTACCACGCCAACAGAATGCCTGGGCACTGGCACCTGGAGAGGGCAGTGGCTGGGTCAGCTTGGCCTGCAGCTCTGCTGCCCTCTGCTGTCCACTGGCCTTGAGAAGCCACTCACCCCGGCCCCTCCCTCCATGGGGGGGGTGTGGAGGGGGTAAAGTCGGGGCCCACACTCACATCGATGCCCCCGCCAATCCGAGATCCATACTCATTCCGGTCCCCAAAGCCGCCTTGGTCACGTTCCCGGAGGATGTCCATCACCATCTCACAGGCTTGCTGCAAACACATAGGCGGCAGCCCCCATAGGTGAGCCCTCAGCTAGGGATCCACGAACCCTGGCTGAGCCCAGTACAGCACCCTACTGAGCTCTCCACCTGCCACTTTAATGCACAGACACTGCAAGCAGCCCCATTTCCAGGTAAGAAAATGGAAAATCAGAGATGAGGCCGCTGGCTCACACACACATAGCTGGGAGACAGTTCAGGGCCGCCTTCCGAGCCAGCGCACTTGCAAGTCTCACTATGTTACAACCATGCACATACCTCTCTGGCCGAATGCAGATCCCAGGCCACTGGGCCTACCAACCTGCCCACGCTACTCTGGAACCCCACCACTACTGCAGAGCATGCTCACCTGCACTTTGTATGGATCCCCAATGATCCGGAGAGGTTTGTCCACGTTTGTATTCTGAGATCCATCCTGAATTAAGATCATCTTCACTCCAGCACGTTCCTGTAGCTGCTTAATGGTCTCCCCGCCCTTGCCGATGACCAGGCCGGCCTTGCCTGCAGGGATCATGATCTCCTGCACGGTGCCATTCTGGCCCCCGTTGGCGTTGTTGTGGAACTGTCCTGGGGGACCCCCACGACCCCGAGACACAATGTCATCCAGCATCATCTTCGCTTTCCTGGGAAGGGGAGGAGCGGGTGCCACCAATTGAGAAAAAGGTACTGGTCTGGTGGCCCACCCAGCTCAAGGGGAAGGTGATCTCAACTTGTGCAAGGATGACAAGGAAGAAGGGCCAGTTGCTGGGGCTGCTTGAGCTCCAGGTTCCCCAGGTCTTAGACTGCCAGGGAATCAGCCTGTTAACGTGGCTCTCTGGAGAGTGGGCAGGAGTAGAGGACATGGTGTGCGAGTCACTCCCAACTTTGAATTCAAAAGGACACAGCAGGCTTCTGCCTGCCCCCTGCATCACAATGAGAGGCCCCGTGGGGACTTACTGGACAGATTCTGGGGCTCCTGTCAAGGACACACTGCGCTCGGGTAGGCCACCGCTGTCTGGAAAGAGGAGACAGAGTCAGTGCCCTCCCTGGCCCACGGGCAGAGAAAGGCCTGCCTTGGACATCAAGAAATTTTCAGAACAACCAATGGTCACTTCTGTCCCATTCAGCAGCCTGACAAATCAGTTTACTTCCTCTAAACACCTGGGAGGCTGCCTGATGCAAGGCTGAGGTCGGGAAGCTTAAAGCCCAGGAAGGGAGGCAGGTCTTTTAGGGAAAAGGGTGAGGTGGAGGGAGAGCAGATTCTAGAAGGTCTAGGACCTGGCCACTCCCACTACCAGTGATGACCACCAGAGCCTCTTCTACAGACAACACGTATCACACATCCAAGTGAAGCCTCAGAACCCCCTGCCAAGTAGGCTTTTTGCAACTCAGGACCCTGAGAATCAAAGAGATAACTATATTGTCTCAGAGTAGATATGCAGCCAGAACTGGGTTCTGGACCTGGGCCCGACTTCAGAGCAATGACTCTTTCCAACATGTTACCCTGCCTGGCGCAGTCTTGCTGGGTGCTCTCACTCAGGCAGCAGGGCAGGGCAGTGGCTAGGAGCTCGGTGTCTGCAACCAAGCCCCTGTGGGCAGTGCTAGCCCTGCCACCTTACTCTGTCCCAACCCACTGAAAATAAAGTCACAGCTGCACCCCGTGGGCAGTACTAGTGGAGTGAGATGCTGTGCTGAGCCTGGTCTGTAGTTAAGCACCAACAAGTGCCACCTCGAATGTTGTCCACAGTCCTCGTGGAAATTAAGAAATTAAAGGGAAGTGCAAAGGGTTCAACCCCGGCCCCCATTCTGGCAGGAACCTGATGGTCTTGTACCTGGAGAAATCTGTACTTTGCAGCCCGAATCCTGTTGGATTTTGTTAATTTGTTCACCTCCTCTGCCAATGACTGGATGGAGGAAAAAAAGAGAAAAGCGAAGTATGAGGAGTGAAGGGAGCCTGGGCGGCTGCAGCCCCAGCCCCTCTGACGTTCAGGAGGGCAGCAGTCATCCCGAGAGCTCCCGTCCTCTGCCAGGAGGGGACGAAGGAGGGGCAAATGAGAACAGCACACAGGGGCCCTCTCAGACCAGTGCTTCTGCACTGGCAGGAGCTCACAGGACACTTCCTCCTGGGGAAGAGTAGGCCTCCCCACCCAAAGTGACCCACACTCACTCAGGCCCACCATGCCGTCTGGGACCCTGTACTCTTCTGTCATTGAAGTCCTGTAAAGAAACACACCAAAGGTCAGTCCTCCAGTGGGAAGAGAGGACAGAAGCTCTGGGAGGGCTACATGAAGCCACAGCTGCCGTAGGCCTAAGCAGAATCTGACCAGACAGGCCACAAACACTCTCGAGACTTCAGTTACCCGATCTGTGCCCTGAGAGGCTTGGTCTGGGGCAGTGTGGCCTGTGGCCTGGTGCCTTTCCATCGCTGAGACACTTTCCCAGCAAGCTGACAGTCACTCTATGCCTTTCATCTCTAAATAAGCTGGCTGTATGTCCTTTTCATCTTATTTTCCTAGTAGTTTATGAAACTACTGGCCCATTAAAAAAAGAAGAAAAAGAAAAACTGGCTGGGTGCGGTAGCTCACACCTGTAATCCCAGCACTTTGGGAGGTCGAAGCGGGTGGATCACGAGGTCAAGAGAGCAAGACCATC